ACTTATTGAGGATACTTAATTCTATTTAAGTAATTATATCTATATATCTCTTACCTTTACTCTTTTTTCCATATTGTACAATTTTGACAATTTACTCATGAAACTGTTGAACTTATGAAAATGAAGAGAATCCATTTACATCACTGTCATGTTTAATAATATATAATACATTTTTTGTATATTTTGTACGCGTTTGAAACTAGATCTTATGTAAGTAACCATATGAATAAAGTGTCTTCATTGAGAATTAAGATATTAATTATATTTACAAGTGATTCTAATGACTTGTGTGCTCCTTTATGGAAGGAAAACATGCAACTGTATATTTTACCAATATCAGTAAATAATAGATCTGTTCTTTTTCGAAGGACTTTCTGGACTGGTGTATACTGGTGCAGTAAGTTAGAGCAAAACAAGTATATTTTGTCTTCCTCTAATTGTTAGAAAATAAAAAGAACAGACTAAGGTCCAGTTCCACAACCTCTAGTTAACTTAATTGACCGGTTATTCTATTGGACTTGACCAATCGCATTTAGCGTTAAGAAGAGTTAATCAGAATTAACCAATCACTGTTGAGACTTAACTGGTAGTTAAAGTTAAACGGAGATTGTGAAACTGGGCTTTAATGATGTTATTTCTTAAAGTGCTTTCAATTACTTTATACGATGAAAGGTTATAGTAATATTGAACTAGTGTTTAGAATTAATAAATTCACATCTCGTTTGTATACTTATGTAAAGCATAAATGTATGAATGTTCGTTTCGTTAATATATACATGAACGTAATGTAAGAATTAAGCGTTTATGCGAATGTATCTTAATCGATAGTTTAAGTACGAAAGCCCGTTTGTAACAACATCGTTTATGCAGTGGATTTATTAATAAACTTATTTTGTTTAGAATTTAATCTTACCGTATTATAAGTCGTATCTCTCGCCAGTCGATAATGATCTCCCATTTCGAATATCTTCACGTTCTAAGAGCCCGTCCGGGAAATAACCGAGCAACGAAGAAAGTTTACACGAAATTCGTGTAAGGCCAAGTTCCACAACATCCGTTTAATTTTAACTACCAGTTAAGTCCCAATAGTGATTGGTTAATTCTGATTAACTCTTCTTAATATCAAATGCGATTGGTCAAGTCCAATGGAATAACCAGCCAGTTAAATTAACTGAAGGTGTGGAACTGAACCTAAAGCCAATAGCACACGGTGCTTGTTTTCGTGCTGGATGGAAATACTCTGTTTTGATTGGTGTATTTCCATCCATTTAGAGAAATGCACTAATCAGAACAGAGTATTTCCATCCAGCAAGCAATCCAGCATGAAAACAAGCACCGTGTGCCGCTGGCTTTAGAACCTTTCGAATTTCGCAAGTGCCTCATTTGTTCTCCGTAACTGCACCGAGTTGCACCGGCTGCACTCCAGTAGGCATCCATACGACCCCTGGCGGAGACACCTGTAGCAGAAATTTTAAAAAGTGCAGCATAGCTCAGAAAGTGCGATCATAAAGAAGGCAAGTTCCGCATGGCTACCTGCACCTTGCGACCGCAACAGGGCGCGCAGGCGCACCGTTCAAATCTCCCTGCGATTCTGCGCGCTCGTCGCGCTCGGCAGCGCTCGGGCCAGTTCGGCTACGTTCGCCGACGAGCTAGAGAGGAGAAGAAGAGGAGAGCCAACGGCAGTGCACATTGAGAAAGCCCGTCGTAGGCTGTCTCGACGTGTATGTTCTGAACGCTCCGCAACATGTTAATGAGTTCTCGTCAGCTCCCAACGAAAAATTCACGTGGTGTATTCAGTATACGAAGGAAAACCACTAGTGCGAGACATTTACCCTCTTGATCGAGTCTTTCACGTAGTACCAATTGTGCAATAAGCAAGCTGAGGAACGATGCCAGGCAAAGGGGGCAGAAGAGGAAAGTACGGTGAGTACTTGAGTACGCCTCGCGAGTATCTCCTGTGTCGTATTATCTCGCATCCTGTCTCGATCCTGTCTCCAACGTCTTCGCCGTCGGCCGTGAATATCCGAAGGACGAGCACGTGACGCGCTCTCTCGACGTTATTAAATTATCGATCGGTACTGCACTTGTCCGTCTATCCGTGTCTAATCCGCTCCAGTGATTCATCGCGCCCGTGGATCTTATTTATTTGCACGGCTTACGTCACGTTGCGCCAAAGCGCACATCTTTTTTTCTGTCTCTCTCTTCGCTTCGAAGGAGATTCGGTCCCGCCTCGCTGCTTTTTCTTTCTTTTTCTCTCTCTCTCTACTTCGCGCGCAATTCTTCGCGTCCCGCTTCGCGTCCAGCTCGATTCTCCATGTGATTCTCATGCCTCCACTTCGGTAGAGCACATGGCGACTTCAGCACGCGGCTGGCTCCCGGGTTCGCTTTCCGGGACGAGAAACGTGAAAGATGGATCACAAAGATTCGAGAGACGCGAGCGGAAATTCGGCGAAACGCCCGAGGAGGCATGTGTCGAGGGCACGTGTGATCTTTCTCTCTTGAGAGGTTATGAGAAGTCCGAGGTCGCGGATCTGTTTCTCTCTCTTTCTCTCGATATCATTTTTCGCAGAAAACATCGATTTCAGCGACATGCAATTCTTGTCATTCTATTACGAAATTTGTACTGCCCTCTCTTGTATCTCTGCGATATATTCTCCCCTCTCGTCAGATTTGCAAATATATATCTCATGCACAGAAAGCACTCAACGAGCGAGATAAATATATATATTCGCAACATAATGCAACCGAAAACAAACGGAATCAGACTATGTGACTCATTCTTCAATCGCGATCGAGTCAGACGCGAGTAAGATTTTACGCAATCGGCAGCAATGGGCTGCCATGCTCTCTCTCTCTCTCTTTCTCTCTCTCTCTCTCTCTCTCTCTCTCTCTCGCGCGCGCGCGCGCTCGCTCGCTCGCACGTTTCTTGAGTTTATTAATACGTCGTTGCAGCTCTCCTCTGCAGATATTCGTTCATCTTGCTCGACCAGATAAATACATTTAATACGATAAAAAAATCCTTATTTTCTCGATCGCGGGACTTTCTGTCTTTTTCATTCTTTCCGTGTACTTTCCTCACCGGATAAGCTGCGAATCTTTGATACTCGAGTTATCTGTTATGATGAATCGTCGTTTCTCTGTGTTTTTACTCATCCGCACGCGCCGATAATTCGGCGACATTCGCGTCGGCTACAATCTCCTTCAGTCGATATTTATTTTCGCATAGCATTTTTCTTCTTGCAAACATCAGGATTAATCTGATGAATCTTCTCGGCGACACCATTACGCCGTAATCCGCGGTGTACAGCCTTGAGCTAAATATATCGCAATTTTATTGCGATCTCTGGACGTATTATCTGTTTTAGGGTTTTTTTTCTACTTTGAACTTTATTTTGTATTTGAAAAAGCCCACAGCCGCGATAAATTACGCAATTCACGGCGTTTGTTACAATCACGGTCTGCTACGCGACCACGCGCGACCTGGTAATGCAAACAGGTACAACAGCTGTGGATTTCGCATTACGTAACGTGACATTCACTTTCAGCTGTTATTATTTTTCTCTCACGACTCGAATTACCTATCCACCTACCGGTTTCAGACCTGCAACACCTCGAATCAACATACCGGACCCTGATCGTTCGCAATCGAGCGTCAGTCGGCGGAAAGTCGCTCTTTTCACGATGCGTCACGATCGATTCGATGTTAACAGTCGCGGACTGTCAAAATATTTGCCGACGATCGCCACGTATATCGGCGGAGATGCATGCGAAACATATGCGTGACTCCTAGACGCGCGCGGCAACGTGGCTAATAATTCGCCAAGCACACGCGAATCTTGTCGGGTCGTTATCGCGTGCGCTAATTGGCTTTTGTTAATCGCAATTAACCAAGGTGATCAGATTTCCCGTCGGACACTTCATAAACGTGGAGTGAAGAGGTTGAGAAAAAATATATATACAGATGAAGCAATATTTCACTTGTAGACTTATGAAAAATAATTTAACAACAATAAAGGTCTACTATATACAATAAAAATAGAGATAAATGCTAAGATAAAATTTGTTATCCTTATTTAAAAGTAAGAAGGAACAAAGCTACTATATTTACTGGAGCTGTGAGTTCTCTCGAGAATGTCTTGCTTTGTCAGGAGCATTTAAAAAAAAATCTTCTGAGTCGGAATAAACCAAGGCCAAACCAGTTTGGTCGAATCCGAGGCGAAGGGTGAAAAACCGCGGAAGTGTCCTGAGAAAAGAGGGACATCTAGTTTAAATTAACACGTAACACACGGAGTCTCTCGCGAATAGCTTGACAATGCAGCAGGTGAGAGGTAGGGAATACGCAGGTTGAGATTATCGCGTTTATCTCGGTACGCTCGGCGCCAAAGGCGAAACATATGTTTCAACCTTATGTGCTTGGTCTTGCCGACGGCACAGGTCACGGTGGAAAAAGAGCTGAGTTAACATCCGACGAGGACTCCGTCTACAATGACGCGTGTAGCGATACCAGCGGCCAGTCCGACAATCGTAGCGTGCTGGAGGATGTGAATGACAACGAGGTGGACGAACTTGCGCAGCAGGAGGCGTTCGAGGAGAAGCTGAGGGAGGCCATCGACGGCCTGACCCAGAAGAGCGCCAAGGGCCGGACGATCTGCTTCAACGGGATCGAGAAGATCTTCGCCATCAAGTACATCCCCGACTTCGTGGAGGACAGGAAGATGACCATCGCGGACTCTGTGGAGCGCGGCCTAAAGAAGGGACGCGGCGAAGAGCAATCCACGGCGGCCAGGCTGAGCACCCTGTTATGCGTTCAGTTGGGCGCGTTCGAGAGCGCCGAGATGGTCTGCAGGGACCTCAAGTCGACCCTGACCTTCATCGCGAGCGACAATACAGCTTCCGTTCATGCTCGCGCCGAGGTAATGTATCTTGGAAGAGAGAGAGGGTGAGAGAGAGAGGATGGATCGATATTCATTTCTTCGGATGCATATATAGGAATATGAAAACGATATATTACGGTGGGTTGCGAAACCTTAAGCATAATGAAGTTGGGAGCTCATTGAACTCATCATTGCCACGATAATAATTTAATTGATAGTATATGAACATTAAATAATAATAATTAATAATATAATTACTGGACAATTCCGTCAATAACGACGGGATAATTTTAATGTTGACAGTTTAGCGAGCCCCCAGCTTCATCGTGCCCAAACCATTTCGCAATCCACTGTCGGTACTGTCGGTAGGAGAAAGACAGCAACGTTTTTTACCTCAATGAACTCGAGAACACGCCAACATCAAATAGGCGAATGCATCTCCTGAGAATCTCTAAAGAACGAATATCCTATCAGATACGAAACTCGTTGAAGATAAAGAGCGTTGCAGTCTTTCACTCACTGGCTATAAAACCTCGCATCCGCTCCTCAGCGATCTCGATTCTTTATGGCTGACGTTGACGAAATGATTGCAGTGCTGTTGGGCGCTGAGTATGAACCAATTCTTGTCGGGCAACGACGCAGACGACACCATCGAAATTATGCAGCTGCTATCGTCTATTTTCTCCGGATCCTATCTGAAGGGGAACGGCGCGATCGCAAACATATCTGCGGACACGGCGGCGCTACACGCAGCGGCTATCTCCTCATGGACTCTGCTTCTGACGGTCATGACTTCCGCGGACATCTACAATTTGCTGGCGAGCGACAAAACGAACAGTTACATGCCGTAAGTAATCGACTGACTGAATGCGATTGATTAGCCATCGTCGTTGTGTCGTAAACGTGATTTTTCTCTCAGTTCTCTCAATCGATTGCGCGAATTGCTGGAATCACCGCATCTCGACGTACGTTTATCGGCCGGCGAGGCGTTGGCCGTGGTGTTCGAGCTCGGCCGCGACTTCTCCTGCGACTACGAGCAGGACTGGGCGCTGGATCTCGTCGAAATTCTCAGGGAACTCGCCACGGATTCAAACAAGTTCAGAGCCAAGAAGGATCGCAAACAGCAACGTGCTAATTTCCGAGACATTCTGCGTTACATCGAGGCAAGTTGAACTTTGTTCACAATGGAGGCTATCCGTCTATTTTGAGGAATTGGAGATAGAGGCGTTAAGACGTTTTCGCTTTTCCAGGAAGATGTTGTTCCGGAGATGCACGTGAGATTTGGCCAGGAGATCTTGTACTTGGAGGGATGGTGCGCGAGGACGCAATATAACGCCTGCTGCCGATTGTTGGGTCCCGGTATCAATATCCATTTAGCTGAGAATCAACTGCTGCGTGAGATCTTTCACCTCGGCAACAAAGTTCTACCTATACCATCGTCCCAGAAAACAAGCAAATTAGAGAGGGTAGGTGGAAATTTGTGGAAGTGAAATTTGGAAAAGTCGCTGTTACCGTTTGATTTCATTGAGAAGTGAGACTAAGAGGGCGTTTTCTCGGTGCTTTTGCAGACGCTGATGAACGCAGCCGCATTCAAGGCGCGCACGATCCAACGCAACAAGAACCGTGACAAACGATCCGCAGCTATGGCACCGTAATCGCTTCTCACTTCTGCTCCTGCCTGTCTAATTCTTCTGTTAGCGTAATACAGATATTATTCAATTTCTTATTTATTATAAAATTCTATAGCGAATTATGATTTTGCTCGGTACCTCGGGACTGAATTGCACACGAATTCTACTCCACATAGGTTCTCCATTCACGGGAATTTTATAATCCGTATTAATAGTCGTTACATGAAACTTGTCTCAAATGAAAGATATTCAAGTACAATTGAAATCTGAATATCTTTCAAGGCCCGTCTACAATGGAAGTAAAGTATGGCTGTAAGAAGTAAGAGTAATAAATTGACCAATCACAGTCGAATGTGAGAAGAATAATCGACTGTGATTGATCAATTTCTTACTATTACAATCACACTTGATTTACATGATTGATCAATTTCTTATTATTACTTCTTATAATCACACTTTACTCCCATTGTAGACGGCCCTTCAATTTAGATAGATGTGTATAAGTTATATACATGTGTGCATTGGTGTGTATTATACAAGTGAATACATTTATATTGCATAGTTATTTGGCAGAATATTTGGAAGGATTTGTGTAGTAAATTCTATATATCCTAATATTATCAAAGATTGTAGGCCGTGATATAATCTCGGCTTACAATCTTTGATAATATTAGGATATATTGAATCACTATACAAATCCTTCCAAATATTCTGCCAAATAACTATGCAATATAAATGTATTCACTGGTATAATATACACCAATGCACACATGTATATAACTTACACACATTTATCTAAATTGAAGGGCCATCTACAATGGGAGTAAAGTGTGATTGTAAGAAGTAATAGTAAGAAATTGACCAATCACAGTCGATTATTCTTCTCACATTCGACTATGATTGGTCAATTTATTACTCTTACAGCCATACTTTACTCCCATTGTAGAAGTAATAGTAAGAAATTGACCAATCACAGTCGATTATTCTTCTCACATTCGACTATGATTGGTCAATTTATTACTCTTACAGCCATACTTTACTCCCATTGTAGACGGGCCTTGAAAGATATTCAGATTTCAATCCAAAGTTAGATTAGTTATAATTTGTCAGTTAAATCGCGACTACAGATATAAATATCACATATATTTCTTGTTTTTTTTTCGAAGAACTTCCTAAACTGGTGCAATAAGTTAGAATAAAACATTTTGTCTCATTCTAATTTTTTGTGTCAGTGCACACTACTTCAGGAAGTTCTTTGAAAAGAAAGAACAGATCTATAATTCAGTTGGAAAACTTGGATTCAACTCTGAATGAAAATCAAAGTATCTCACATGAGAAAAGTCTCAGATGGCAATTATTAATACATGCCTATGTGATGCGGTTAAGTTGCTCGCGTTCAGCAGGTACATTAATAGGTCTATTCGTTTTCGAAAAAAACTTTTGAACTAGTGTAACAAATTAAAGGAAAAGGAAGTACATTTGTTTCTCCAACTTATAGCATTAGTACAGAAGTTCTTCGCGAAAATAAACTGACAAATAATATTAAATAAAATCCAGCACATATATGCATATATATGCATGCATATTCGATATATTTATGTATATATGTGCCAAGAGTTAAGTACATGTACATATGACATAATGCTGATAACACCGATCACACACGTTCGTCATAGTTAAATTACTTGGATTTTATGGAGCGTTTTATTGAACTCTAATATCAAACGATGTGACATGTTTTATTGTTACTTTTGATTATCTCACTGTTATCTCTTAGATACGTGTTGTATCTGTTGATTTTGATAATCAAATTGATTGTATGATATTTTAACAGCTATTGATGAAATTGTTGTTTTGTTTGGAAGTAATATAACACGGAAAGGATACACCATTGGTCGGCAATTATTTTGCATATTAACAGTAACTATGTTGTAATTAACTATATATGTAATTAAGGTGTTCAAGATATTTACTAGCGTTGTACATAATTAAACGTAAGTTATAGTGACATACGTTCAAATAAACAAGAACATAGATAGAACGTGAGCGTGCAGTGATTCTGTTTACCTGGTTTATTGGCTGTTACGCTTATTGTTCCAACAAACTTATCCGTAGAACAGTCCAACGCGTATGTTATATGCGCCGTTAAATATATCGATCACAGTCATTTCCATCGTGAAACATTGCGACATCGTATAGCAGAGGTAACGTCTCAAATAAATACACATATTTCCTGTCTCTTTTCGTGATGTATCCGCGGTATAACAATCTTTACAATAACAATTTATAGATATATATAAAGCGTATCGTAAAAATAAAATTAAACATTAACACTATATATAAGCATTCAGTCGTGGTGGGCAACGATCTACAGCCTTATTTCTTGCAGGAGACGCATTAGTATAAAAAGAATTGCCTTTTTTTTTTATTTTTAACGCGGCTAAAGTTCTCTCTTCCTCCATGCTCTACACAGAGAAGTGAGCGTCTCGCGATGCAACTACACATGCATATTGACCGTTTGCTCTTTAAACTCTTTTTCGGATAGCATATGCCATCGATAACGCAGTATCTTTGATACCTCCCTTTCTGTGCTCTCGTAACTACGACTATTTACCTTAATCCATTCGTGATGCTCGAGCGACCAGTCGAGAATCCTCGACCAATTTTTGTCGCATCTTTTCAGCACCACGTTTCGCCGCACATACAAACAGCGCAAGCGTTTCGCGGTGGACACGATTTCCAGAATCGTGGCTGTCGATATCTTGTCGTGGATCATCTGTGGAAAAATGTGTCGTCGTGAGTTGACTATGTGTGTGTATATGTGTGTGCAATAATAGATACAGTGACAGCGCGAAAAATTTGACTCAAGTTAATATGTATTACACATATCGAGTGTTTAGCGACAGAACCGATCGAGTTTATGATAAAGTTCACTTTGGGTATGAGATTATATCTCAAGACGAATTTTACGAATATAACGGCTCGATCTGTTCTAGCCGAACATTTCATGTTTGATGTAAGCTGATTTGTTGTTCGATTAGATACACGAGAAAGCAAAATCTTTATCTAGAAGAATCCACATGTAAAATAAGTCTGAAGTGAGGTCTAAAACGGTAGTCGGAAGGAATTTGCACTCACACGTAGCAAGAAAGCCTTTCACAGTGTGAAGGGTACGAGCGCATGCCAGTATGTCATAAAGGCGTTGTTAACATCAGCGTAGCAGTTTAGAAAGAGTAAGTTCACAGGCGAGTCAGAGGGTCGATTCAAGTGGAAAATGCTACCAGTGTATGCAGTTGCGGGCACATTTTGCAGAATTGCACCAGCGCCTCGTCCAATCTCGTCGCGAAGCTCCTGTCCATGTAATACCTGGTTATCCCTTTGAAAGCGTACACTCGTATCGTTGAGTCGAAGAACGCTCCGTGGGTAAGTATCGTGGACGGCGAGATCTGTAAAGACAGTCATATGAATGGCGATCTCCACCGCGAGTCTGCCACTATATTTATCGTTAATCTACTGTTAGCTCGCTGACCTGCGTATTTGGAGTATCCAGAATTATACTATGACAGGGTATGGCGCTATGTTCTAGCAGGTCAATGGGCAAAAGAATATCCGTGGCCTTGTGATTCTCTACTTCGAAGTGTACCTTCAGTTGAGGATTATGTGCCCTCATCTTTATCCATGAAGATCTCTTTGGCTGGAATCAAATATTCATAATGGATATCCATATTAACGCATGATTGCTGCACGCTAAATGTGCAATACTATACGTTGAGAGATTACTGGATACTTTAGTTGTATAGAATTATAAATGTATAGAATGCTGCATCCAGAATTTCCTTAACATAGAACTGTTGGAATGAATAAATTGCAGTTACCAATCTTATGGTTGTGTCCTTCGGACTGTATCGATTCTGCAAAATATGTAAGTGTTGCAATTTCGTGTAGCCTATCAGCTCTATTATATCCTCATGCAGATTTTGCGGACTCACGACCAAGACCTGGAAGAGACACATTGTACACTTGATTTATTGTCGAAGAGTTCGTAAAACGTTCACGGTATGCTATGTGCTTACGTTTAAGTTTATAAATACTCCCACATGCAGCAACGGGCAGTTGTAACGCGTGGTGTTTATCAGCACCAACTTGGACAAGGTCTGAGTGCAATTGGTGCAAATGTCGTCCATCAGGTGCAAGGCTTCTTTGCTGTCGAGCATCAGATCAATCAGTTCTAAACACCTGAGATTCTGCAAGTTTCTCATGAGCCTCTTCAGCGCTTCGAGCAGCTTGCCGCCTGTGCCAAAGAGCCTAATTCGATCAGGATCATCCCTATTTGCCATGTTACAGGGAAAGGTGAACTTAAGCCTCCTTATATAAGTACCCACACCAGCCACGGAGGTATTGTCCGAGCCCTGGTTCTCGGCATACCACGATATCATGTTCATGAACTCGTAGAGATTGTAGAAATTCAGCATGGGCTCGAATATGAGTGAACGAAAATTCCTGCCGACCTTGTTCAGGCAAGTGGACGTTCTCATGTGATCTAGGACATACTGCCAGCCACTGTAGTAGTTGAACTTGCCCCTGGTGAGTGTGGTGTCCTCCAGAGTGAACGTACGCCATACATTCTGCAGCTTGAAGGCACGATACCACGAACGGCATACCAAGGATGCATAGTAACGCTCACGGATTGTCAGGTATGAAAATATCTCCTCCAAGAGTATATCAGGAGTCTGATCCCAGGAGCTATAAATCCTGTCTTCATCTGTGTCCTCCTCCTCCAGATCTATGTACAAGGCTGTGCAGAGAAGATACATCTTATTAATCGATCAAACCCACCTATCACTTATCTATTCAAGCACTGCATGTTTTCTCCCCTCATATCAGCGCCCTATTTTTACGTTTACCTTGAAATGCAAATTATTTTTAGACGATATTAATGTCAATTCTGATTATAGATTAATCCTCACGGGTTCTCATCGACTGCTCGCGCACACCAAGGGCAATCATCTCCCATTGCCGGCGTTATTTTTCACGTTTAGCGGCGAATGAGAAAAAAAGGGGGGCTGCGAGTCGAGTGCTACATCGAGAATAAAAATTGCTCTACTACGTATAAGACGAGACGGTCGTGTCCCTCTTGTGACAACCGTTTGATGCGCCGTCCAATTAACCAAGACGCAGAATCGACACGCATTTCTGTGTCTTCGACGTGAATCTGCGTACAATTTGCAAAGAGCATCGGCTTTCTCGGGCCGCGAAAACACGCAGTGCTTCTCCGAGAGCGAAATATCGATCCCATGTGAATCATTCTCGCGAATTTCTCGGGAGAGAAAGAGAGAGAGAGAGAGAAAACGATCGCACGCTCACCCTTATCCTCCTCGTCGAACTTCCAGCAGCCTTTGTTCATTTTCGTTGCAATCGATGATCATCGGTGTTACATTAAAATAACGTATCTCTACGATGGAGTATTTATATGTGATATTGCTAAAAATATACCGAAAAAACGGGAAGGGGCGATCGCTGCGAGCGATGGCGCGTCGCCATGACGTGCCTTTAAATCATGACTCGGACGAGCCGTCGTTTTTGCCATCCATGTGCGATGAGTTTTTGCAGGTATTTTGCGAAAAAAAAATCACCTGCCGCCCATTGTGTGCCGATGTTCTCCATGTTTCCCTCACATCGCGTCATTCTCGCTCGAAGGCGATTCCAAGAACAGATTTATCAAGAATGTAGCCTGTGCTTCGTCGGCCAATCACAGAGGCAAACAGAGATAGAGGCAGCGAGAGAAGGATCACGCGACCGATAGAACCTAACCTAACCTGCAAAACTACATTACGCAGAGTATGCGTCTTAACCTCAACTTGCTTTCGTGAACCCATTTCTCGTTGAAAGTTCGCGTACTCTAACTGAACGCGATGAATGTGACCGGCAAACTGTGTCAGCTGAGGCAAGCGCTGCGAAGTTGTAGGTATGTGACGCCCAAAAATTGCACGACGTAAACACATATAGAAGCCGGTGTCTCGTTGATTGTCGTACTGTATTTAGAAGTAAGCAAAAATAAAATTGATTTTCCGTTTAACATCGCGAGAGAAAGTAACGAAATTCGTCTATCTATGCGTCTCTTAGCGATTTCTCGTTCCTACTGTTTTCATTTCATAAAAAATTCAATCGATAAGGTAGATGTTTCAGTAAGTGAACCTTGTCTTACTGATTGTGTGAAACATTAATATATTTATATTTATATTATATACATATTATACTTCTGAAAGAAGGGAAAGAATTTTTGAGAAATTCTGTTAGATATTTTTTCTATGTTAATTTATAATATTATTTAATGATTATTTAGTCATTGAGCCTGTACTGGATAATTGGGTCATGATTCATTTTTTCAATTACTGGTTCAATTACTGGTATAACTACATTATTTAATATTTCATTAAAGTTATAATAGATATTTATTGATAATTTTATTTCCTATTATTTTTATTACTGACAAACCAAGGTTTTATGTAAACATTAGTGTTGTTAGCAGTTCTATTAATTATTTATTAATAAAAATGTAAAATTGATCATGCTTCCTTACTAATTCAATCATTGTGACGTTTACTCTCTTTTAAATAGTATTCACAATTTTTGTAGGAATATACATGTCACATCTCTTGTAAAAAATGTGTCTGCATACGAGGGTCCTGGTAAAACTACCGTCACATTTATCAGTAAGGAAATTGGCCCTAGAATCCTAATATCTAAATGCAATAAGGTGAGCTTGATATGCTTCGTTGATTCATTTAGAAAGTTGACATTTCAAGCAATTGATTGGTATTTTATATAACTAATTGACATTTAACAGTGTCTTAATCTATTGTTCTGGATCGTAATTGATTATTTTATTTTGAAGGATGGATTCACCTTGCACAATGGCATGGTAATACTAGGACCAACAGTGCTCTTCCCAAGACAAGCTCTCTGTTGGAATATTGCATCAGCAAAGTATATAAACGACACGACTTTGTCACTGTTTACTGTTCTGGAGCCTAAACCTGATCTTCTGATTATTGGAGTGGATAGCCAATACAATCTCCAATTTATCAGAAGTACACAGAAGCTTATGTACAAATATAACATCACTGTGGAGATATTACCTGTGTTTCAAGCATGTAAAGTATTCAACTTTGTGAATGAGGAAGGCAGATATGTCATAGCAGCCTTAATACCACAGCAGTCTGCACATATGTTACCGAGAATAGACATGAAAAGAGCAACTAATTCCGACGATCCTAAAAGCAAAAGCAGAGAAGATAGGACAGATAAAAAACTAGAATAATCGTCCATGTACGTTAAGTTTAGGATAATTTATTGTATAATAAAGTTAAAAAAATGTCTATATTGTACTGCAATAGAATTTCTCTTGTTTGCTTCTATGTCTGTATCTCATCAGTTACTTTCATTTGCATATTTGTGCCAACAATCATTTCATTAACTGCATCTCGAAACGATACATAGCCAATAAAACAATCAAATTCATATTAATGAAAAGCGCATATTCGGGATTTGCCTATGGTGTATGGTCTGTTCTTTTTAGCTATATTTCTGAACTATTACAATGAGTTAGAGTGAGAAAAAATTATACTTGTCTCATTTTAACTTACTGAACTGGTTCAGCGGTGCAGCTAAAAAGAACAGACCGAATATAATGCAGAATGTAGAGGGCTCCTCCTGCGCTTCAGCTAAAAAAGAGAAGGAAGTTGGTACTTAGTGATAATCCTTTGAGTTATCTCTTATTCCGTATAGCATATATCTTTGAATTTGCATGTAAATATATCGTTATCTTATTTACATCGTTTACACTAATGTTTTATTTGATACGACACAATAAATTTGTAAATAATTAAGTTTTTAACAAAGTGATAACCTAACCTGCAAGTGACAGGTCGTACGGCTTCAGTAATGAATTTACAGATAATATTGTTTCTGTAATAAAAACAAGATATATATATAACATATTTTGTTGTCAAGATAAAGTGGAAATTATTTTGAAAATTATTCATGATAACTTAATCCAACCTGCAAGTGATGAGTTGCGACTTCAATGAATGAATTTGCAAATAATGTCACATCTGTAATTGTAAAAATAATAAGATATAAAAGATATATTTTTTGTCAAGATAAAGTGAAAATTGTTTCAAAACCTATTTATCAATTTGGTTTTGTTATTAAGTAACGAGGTATCATTTATTGTCAGTTTTTTCCTGATTTTATAGTGTATTTTTCCCTGATATTCATAGACTACCAAGATGAACAGCTCAACAGATCCGCGGCGACCCGACAAGGAAGTTCGCTACAAACCGCCCGGCTCGAACAATCAAAATCAGACGCAAGACGACCTGACGCCAGATTACATGAACGTCATCGGAATGATCTTCAGCATGTGTGGTTTGATGATGAGGCTGAAGTGGTGTGCCTGGGTGGCGCTGTACTGCTCCTGCATCAGCTACGCTAATTCCCGAGCCTGTGAGGACGCCAAGCAGGTCCTCAGCTGTTTTATGCTGTCGATATCAGCGGTCGTGATGTCTTACTTGCAAAATCCTAATCCCATGACGCCACCGTGGGCGAGTGCTATGCAGTGAACAAATCTATCGTGTGATTCCACAAATGACTCACTTTGTTAATGTTTTTCTATATGTGAGTGCGAGAAACCTTGAACATTCGTAATGTAGAGTGTATGATAAATGTTGAATTAAAAGATTATTGTTTATCTTGTACAGAGAGATGTCTAATAATGAACGAAGTCCACCAGTTCATTGCAGCAATACATTATTATTCATCATGAATGTCGAGTCCACTCTGTCGATGATTCTTATGACGCAGTCATTGAAGGAACATGCAGACAGGACTGTGTGCGCAATGTGTACTGAGGTGACCTTCTATATTCATCGTTTATTTCTTATAAATAATTTATATTACATTAGAATATCAACTCTCTATGTCCTGTAAGCCTCTTCTAAGGGACTCTATAAATATTACAAGGAATCAATAAATATTACATTTTTCTAAGCGTACCGACTAGATATACTGACTAGAGTGAAACGCCGTCTACGACGCGTCCAGTCTACTTTTTACATAAATACAGCGACGTCGAAGTTCCGATTCCTTGAATGAGCAATTTCTAAGGAGTCGTATGTTCGACGATCGCACCGGATCCGACTACAGTCGCGATGATACCTCGCGAGAGGTTCGTCATTCGTGCATATCATGTCCTATCCCGCCTCTTATACTTAGAGTAACTCGCGTGGATCGATAGAAAAGTATCGACGCTTAATTTATCGCGACGTAATCGGCTCATATGTTAGAGCGTGTTCTAACGAACTAAGAACAGTATCAAATTATATCAAAAGATCGGGAACGTAGAGACTGCGCGCGAGATTCGTCTTCAAAGCCGCGTTTAGAAATGTATAAAAAAATCAAATGGTCTCTCTACCATATCTCAAACAATATCGATGCAGAATAGGCCGCTGCTGCCATGTACGGTGCACGCATTAATCCTAGAACTTTAAACTTAAAAAAGTTAGCTCTAAATAAATTTTATCTAGCGCAATTTCATTTGTTCATAACTGTCGGGAAAATGATCAAAATCCAGTCTTTTTTCCTTTCAATCGGTGTGGAAAATATTGAGGAATAAGCATCTTTTGGTTGAACAAAATTATAATGAATAAACAAAGCATATTTTCAAGAACGGTGATATTTGAAAAATTGGTCTGGATAAATCTTATCTGCGTTTAGGGTTTTAGGATTAATCGTGCTAAAAGATTTCTAGCTGGGGGAACACACACTCCTTCCTCCCCGTTGCTTATCGTCACGATAGTAAGACCGCGACAAAAGACCGAACGTCCCGAGGGAGTCACAAATGGCTTTTTATTGCATTATATTCAGTTTTGATAATCGAGTAATCACGTGCTGAGACTGGAAGATGATTGAGAAAAGACCTGAGAATCTATGAGTCGAATAACTCAAGAACAAACAATTCAAACGTATAAAAAATTGTTAAAGACGTCTCGCAGACATTTCAATTTGTTCAAGAGTCTTTTGGACATTAGTGTCGCTTAAACAAGTCGAATAGAAACCCTGAGACTGAGAGGAGGAGAAGAAAAAGAATTAGAAGAAGAACAGAATTTTTGGCACACGTATTCGCACGTCACTAATGCTAAATGTGCCTCGTGGTCCTCGATTGGGCTTATTCCAGTTCGCTAAACTAAAGTCCTCTCGCAACGTCCCTCCCAACTGAGGCTGAAGAGATCGTCGCGCATAGAGTGTCTCCAACCGACTTCTCCATTCGATTCAATCTTTCTCGGACTAAACGCTGCTTTCACCTCGTCCTACCAACGTGATAGGGTACACGTATTTCTTCCGTTTGGCGCTGAAGAACGGCGAGTTGTGCTGGCCGGTGGTCGGCGTGGGCGACAGACCTCGAAGAAGCGGTAACGAGGCGTCGCCGCCGCTCACGCCCGTGGCGTCGAAGCGCTTCTTCCACTCGGCGCCCAGATCTGTCGCCGGCGCCATAAGGCCTTTGCATTCCGGCGAGCTGCGCACGCTGAGGAAGACATCGTTGCTGCTGTCGCGCTGGCCGGAGGAACCCTGAAGAGCGCGAGAGATCAGTCATGCGGCAATAGATGATGCGCGACAAGTATCAGATGAGTGAAGAGGCAGATCAACCTGCGTACGTACCTTCGCCTCGTAGAAGTCCAAACTGGAGCCGTTGGTGTCGTTCTCCTCCTCGTACAGTTCCACCTGCACACGATGCGATGTGTGAGAGTTCCTCGAGGAGTGCGACGACGTGCGGGTCGACGAGTTCTCCGACAGGTCGTCCCTGCAGCACGCTGCTGTGCACATCCGTTGCTCCCTGCAACCGCACAAAGCTCAGTAAACAAGACACCACAGCTATTCCGATCAGAGCATTGCGACAAATCTGATATCAAACATCTTTGCATTAATTTTGAAATGGTTTCGAAAATCGTTAGCCACGTAAGAGATATTAATACCAAGATCTCTGTCCACCTTAACACCGTCCAAGTTTTGTCTAAAAAAATTCTTATAAAACTCTAATTCTTAAGTATGTTTATATAGTTTGCCCAGTTCTTAAATTTGTTTGGTGGTTTGCAGAAGTCTCGGGACACCTTGTGATATGAATATGATGACGATCTGACGGCAACAACAATCACCTTCTGACGGTGACAGAGTCTCGTCGTCTCGGTACAGGCGGCGGAAGACCGGCGGCGGCCAGGCTCTTGGCGCTCTCGTAGCTCGCCTCGCTGTTTCCGCTGCTGCTGTTGCCGCTACCACCGCCGTTGTTACTGCCCGCGCGCTCCCCCGTCCTCAGGAAGTAGTTCCTCGCCGAGAGCATCGCGTAGTGCAGATTGTTCTTCAGGTCGTCCGCCGCCGTTGACAAGTTTCCCGGAATCTTGGGGGTACGTCGCATCGGCCGCGGCGCCGGCACCACCGGCGACGGCGGACTGCTGGAGGCCTCCGAGAGCGTCTCCGGGGTGGCCAAGGGCGCCGTGCGGTCGTCCCAATCGTGCCGGCGACCGAACCTTCTCGTCGGCGAGGCACAGAGAAGAAACAGAAGGTGATTACTCCGCACTTTCCGTCATTAGGACCGAACGGCGCGAGCATCCGAAGAACATCCAGCCACAGAGGAAGACATCTGAGACGTTTCTTCGGACGTCGCGCCGTTCGGCGCGGAACACTTCCTGCGCGACGTCGCGATTATTTGCGAAGATTGCGCGCCGTGATCGCTCATGACAGCGCGGCGGCATCTCGATGCGATCACGACATTCTCAGGCTTTCAGGTGCACGACAATGCATTCATGATTTGAGGTGAGGAGGATTTAGAGAGCTCTAAGCGAGAGAGAAGCGAGAGTGTGAACGAGAGCGTGAAACGAAAGAGCTGCGCGAATTCATGTGAGTCCGAGCGACAGATGAAGAAAAGCGGATGTGTGCGATTATGTGATTTTCCCGATCGAATGCCCTCCTGCGCTACTCACAACATCAGGCACATTTCTCTAACGGGTTTGGCTACCGTCCCCCCTTCTGCTCTTTGTGTAAGATCATCGCGCACTTTTTAGCGGATCGTATTACTTGACAACGAGAAGTGCACACACACACACACACATATACGGTGACGCATCCTGCCGATTAACAACGCGGTCAAAACGCGGCTCATCGCCATCGTCACCGCTTCGCTTCGATCTCTTCTTCCACTTGTCCATCACACGTCACGTCGCGACACGACGCGTTCAACCCTTCGCGATCTGAGAGACGAGTCAGAGAGCGCGAAGGGTCTTTCAGGCGCGCTCATCGTTCTTACGGTTTGCTTTCGTCCGGCCGCGGCGTGTTGAGCAGCTCGCTGGCGAGGCTCATGTACTCCCACGGGATGCCTCTGGAGTCCACGCTGAGCTCGCGGCCGGCCTGGGGAAGATCCGTCGGGCTCTGCAGCGACGTGAAGCTCGTCTCCAGGCAGAGCCGGTGCGGCGGCGTGCTGGCCAGGTTGCCGCCGCCGAGTGTCCGACATCTCACCGGGCTGGACGGCGACAGCAGAGCCCGCATCTCCTGCTCCTGCGCCTCCAGCTCCAACTGCACCTCGACCTGGTGCTCGCGCGCCTCCGACGCCTCCGTGGACGACGCGTGGCCGGACGCCAGCCTCTGCGGCTTCGCCGGTCCCAGGGTCGTCACAACCTGACATACGCGCGCGCCCGTAGTGCATATAGTGTGCTGGTAAAGCTTGTTGGCGCGCAAGTTGCGGTCGCCAAGTCGCAGGTACAAATCGTCAGACTCGCTGAGACTTGCCCTCGAGGCTCGTTTCTCCGTTAACGAAAGATTTTTCATTGCGCGTTGTGTTACTTCCACGTTGGACAAATAAGACGAATAATAATGTTTCAAATAAGGGGCAAACGTACCGATTCTTCGTGTTATTTCGGTCTTTAAATACGAATATTTAAACTCTCAATATGAAATATACGTATATATTTCATATTTATACTTAAAACAAAAAGAATGGATCAGGTATCAGGTACGTGTGTTCGGGCATTCGTACTTTTATCTTAAAGCAAAAGTTTGCTTCAAGACCTTATCTTCGTGGGAACTCCGAGTTTAAACAAATTTCTCTCGAGATTGACTCCATCAGTCGAGTTAATTAAATGAAAAAGACAATCAGAGGAGACCACAGTTACGATTACGAAGTTCGTACTTGCAACTTGTCATCTCGGACCCCCTCGCTGGACCGTCGCGCATATTGCGCGACTCTCTTGACGAACACTCTTCTTCGTCGAGTTCTTATCGATCGGTTGACTTAGCATCTAGCTAAGTATCTGTCGGCTTTAAAAAGGGAGAATCCGCGTCGCGGGTTATAGTAAATCTTTAGGCAGAAATTGAGATTCGCCGCTTCCGGCGATAGCTCCCTCTCCTGCGAGCGATCTCTTCTTGAGGTTTTCGTTTTATTTCGTATTCGCGAATGGACCGGCCGCAAATCAACCTCGACGGCCAATTTACGTGAATACGTAGTAGCTAGCCGAGTGACCGCAAGACATTTTACGCGGACGATATTCCGGGATAATAGATCCTAGCTACCTTGCTCGGGCAATCTTCTTCCCCTACTCCATCGCGGAACTCGGTCGCGAGACGGACATATGTACGTTCTTCGTGACACAGTAAGCCTGTTCTTTGTAGCTGCGCTGCTCAACTGGTGCAATATATTGAAGTGAGATAAATATATGTTTTCTCACTCTAATTTATTGCACTAGTTTAGCAGCGCAGCTACAAAGAACAGGCCTAGTGACTCGGCCGCTGCTGTTGATCGAACGAGGAATCGACACCTGCTCGACCGTAATCACATTCAACATGCAAACCAGACGATACTCTCGCTAAAGTCCACTCTAGGGGGGATCAATAGGGCAATCGACTCTAGTTGAACGCCGAATGCACAATGAGAACGATATGATCGGTCAATGCGTGATGCGCATGCATTTGTGTCGGTGTGCATGCTTGTGTGTAAATATGTATGTGTGTATTCTCATCAGAAGCTTGCAAAAGTTCAACTGTCGAATTTCTGTTATCAATATATATTAAAAATGAATTATTACAAAATTGTACTTACTTGAATGTTTTTTATATCGTATATTCGGTAGATCGTTAGAGATTTACTTATTTTTTAAGTTTACGCTACAATCTTAGTCCAATTTCATAAACAACGTTATAGAAAAAAATATAATTTTAATGTATTGTAAAATTTTCTTCGAAATCATCGACGAACTTTGGCAAGTCTCCAATATATATATATATATCGATATATGTGTATATAAATGCGTGATGCCTCTCGATTCACGACGATCAACGTTGCGCCAGGAAGTGCCTTACCCTCTTGTAGAGAACGCGACAGCCGCGAACGATCACGCGACCTCGTTGCGGTCAACGAGAATCTCGGACTCGGATTCGACCGATATACATTACGAGACGATGCGCGCGATATCCCCAGTCCACGAGCTTGTTTCGTCCGGAACAACCTCGCCTTCGTGGCGGCGGCGGCGGCGGCGGCGATCCAAGTACCTTGTGTCGCGGCGCGAGGAGGCCGCTGCAGTGACGTGGGCGTCCGTCGGTGTAGCCTGATGGTGATGAAGCACCACGACGTGCGAGGACAGGTGATCGGCGAGGGGCTTTCCGAAGGTCGCAGGGTCTATTACCGCGATGTCTATGTCCGTAGTGTCGGCCCCCGCACCGGTCGTCGCGCAGCCCCGATCTCGGCACGCCAACACCTGGTCCATACCGCACACACACCCTCAGCCAGCTTGGCTCGCTCGGCCGAATCTCTCGCGGATATCGCGCGGAGACGCGCGTGATTCTCGTCGCGGCGAGACCGACTCCGCGAGGATCCGACTTGCAAGTCGCATCAAGACTCCGCTCGATCGCAAGATCCCGGGGAAGTGGGAGAACCCGAACTTCGTGAAAAGATCATCGTTAATTTATACATGCGACTTTTTCCGGGCACATCGCGTTTGCCCTGCCGCGGAGTCCGCACGATTTGTAACTCGGGTCCTTGACTATTCTCCTGGATTATCTTGGGGGCGAAGAGACGATTTCTCTTCTCACGGTGCATAACGCTCTACGCGTTATTCTCGAGAAGAAGAAAATGAAGAATCTCGACTCTATACACATTCAGTGCATTCGTCGAATGTACGACAAGAATACGAGTCAGTGTTGAGAGGAAGAGAGCAAACTACTATAGAGCGCATACGACAGCGGAAGACTATATACGGAAGAGAGTAGTAATCACACACACACACACACACACGCGCGCGCGCGCATACATACACACATACAATAGTAAAATAAATTAGCGAAAGAAATGCACTGAGAAAAAATGTCTGAAGATTTATTTGTAAAAGAGAATTAAAAGTTAATTTTTAAATAAATTTTATTTCCTCCCATATGAAATGAACTTTTATTCTATACAAATAAATCTTGTTTTTTCTCAGTGTGCTAAATCTCGTACATTGAGAAAAAAAATATTTGAAAATTTATTTGCGAGGTATAAAGTTTATTTTTGTGAAATTAAATGTATTTCTCCGTGAAACAGACTTTTATCCGGCAAATAAATTTCAGGAGTCTCCTCTTTTCAACGTACGGCGAACACAAGTGTAATTAAGCTACTTAACGCAACTCAAATCTACAAACAAATCGGTCAATCTGAGCGAGCGGAGTCGAGATATTAATCACTCACACATCGATATTTGCGTACAGCTCGACACGCGCGAGACGCTTGAAAACGAAACCGATCACGTATAGCACGTACGGACGGACGCACTCCTTTGAGTATTCCGCGTTACATTTGATTCATATCACGCATACATCGATACACGCATACGCATGTAGACGGCATACGTGTCGCATCGTCAAGCGTCTCGGCGCGACGAGACTCGGGAAGCTATCGGGAAGCCTCGTCGAATGAACAACAACGATCGTTTCTGTGGCAGAAAGTATATGTATTGATCGAAGTAGCATACATCGCAAATTATACAGAATGGAACTGTTACGGAACTGTGCATCCAAAACGACCGACCAGCAATAGCAAGAATTCACTCTCGTTTGTAAATCGACTCGCATTTCTCGCGGGCGCCGTAGAAAAATATAGAGCGCTTCCCAGCAATGTACACACGCGACACTGTGTAACACAGTCACTCACACAGTGTACTGCGTTCCGTCGCTGGAAAGTTACTTGCATCGCACCGATGTGCGTCTTCGTTTCGCTTGTACTTTAGTCGTTTTGCGTGCAATGGATAGAAGAGACAGAGAAAAGGAGAGAGGGAGGAGAGAGAGAGAGAGAGAGAGAGAGAGAGAGAGAGAGAGAGAAAAGAGCGTGAGGAAGAATAGAAAGATTGATCTCTTGTGAGAAAACGTACAAGAGACGCGCACGGATATCATTGAAGCGTTTGCTTCAATGAGCGAGCCGACAATGGTCAACCTATGTCTAATAAACGTGCGTCGAATTCAATCGGTCCACTTCATTACGGACTTGAATCTGAAGGGAAACAATCGCCCGTTGATTAATCCATCAATTTATCAATCGTGCGATAATTGTACGTATGTATACACGGAGAGAGATTTACAGCGGAAATTGTTACAGAATTTCTTAGCGAGGATCACGTCGACACTTTCTGCAATAATTGACTATACATTCGTTCTTCCATGCGCACTATTCAGCTGAAACGTTTCATGTTTCAACTGAAACGCGCTATTCAAAAGTTTCCTATACGTTCTACCGGGTTTAAAGTTGTGAAAAACCAAGAATTTAACTTGTACAAAAGGAGAACCATGATATTTCTTTTGTGCGATGATCCTTCTTTACGAAGACATTTGTCAGAATGTAAGCGATCGACGCTGTCTCTTTCTAAGCGGAGATCAATTAACACGCTTCCCACGCTCTCCCCGTAACGACAGATTGAATTCTCGATCGTGATTGTTTGTGCCAAGCGATTCCTGTGCGAGATTAGTGTTTTACGTAACGAACGAACGTGTAACGATCACGCTCGCGTGCAAACGATAGCGGATTCGCGTGCCGCCGGTTGGCCACTTTCGGCCACAGACGATGGAGCTCATGCATTGTACGAGGGCATGCACGTCAGTCCTATTACTCTACTTAGGCGATAATGTCGGGGGAAGTAGTAAATACAAGAATACTCAGCGTACACGCGTATTTTGCGAGGTAGCGATATCGTAGACAATAGTGAGGTCACTATCCGCGGTATATTCGAAAGAGCGAACGCGAATCACAGCGGGTCGGCCCTCGCGGAACGGTTGGAGGGCAAACGAGAAGATCTGACTTCGTTCTCGAAACGCGAATACAACTGTGAATGTTTGTTTCACTCGCTCGAGGAGTTTGTTCCACCTGACTTGTGTACTCCCGAGGCGTCCAAGAAGGCGCGTATTTTCATCAAGAAAGCGAGATGCCCCGCGGTTGTCGCGCCGACCCTGCGCGATTCTCATCCGCGTTTCTCCGAAGCTGAACCTTTCTACATCGTAGTCTCCACACCGAGCGACAAACTCTAACTATATACAATCACATCGTTCCAAAGCACAGCACGCAAAACAGAATTGCACTACTTGAACGCTAAAGAGCTCCGAGTGTGATGAAAATAAACGATACGGTTACGGTGACGGGATATTATGCTGGCAAATTATACGAAAATTCCTTACGTCTCTACGTCTACGCTATACTACGCTAATTCATAATGCGGCACGTCTCAATAAATAATCACACACGCGTACATACTTGCGTTAGCGCGCGCGCACACACACACACACACACACACACACACACATCAAAGATACCTTGATGTGCAACTCTGTTTAAAATGATGGATACTAAATAATAATATTACATAAGAATTAAGCTGAATATCAACGAGAATCAATAATTGATTTTGATCGAAATTTAGACTCTGAACGTAATGTAATCTTATCGTTTTGTATCCGTCATTTTAAGCACAAGACTCCAGTGGGCGCCAACTCTAACAATAACATTACATCAACGTATAATTTCCCAATCAACAATGTGACTGTTATATTGTTATTTGCACTTACATTGTTGAGTAGGAAACTACGACATCGATGTTATTGCTGACAGTATGGTGTTCGCTGGGAAGAACAACTGAAGAAGTAAGCTGTACAAATTACAATCTAACGGGCGCGACTCGCGGGACTCCTCGCCGATCCGACTGCGAAATATCCCGGCGACGAATTTATCCCCGCTCGCGTTCGAGGCGATCCATCCTCAAACGTGACAAGTCGCGGCGCATCATCCCCGACATGCTGGTCCGTTTACTTTTTTACTTGGCACATTCTCTCGCGCCCTTTCCGCGCGATCGCGATCGCGAGGAACAGCACAAAGATCGACGACGACGACGACGACGACGAGCCGTCGTCGTTGCGGTCGTTAACGCGGCTGCTCCGTCCGCGTCTCGTGCACCTCCACGTCGACGACGATCGACGTGCTAATCGCGCGACTCTCCGGCCGGATGAACGTCGCGCACCGATCGGGATCATCAACCGCGTCCATGTTCCTGACCGCCCGCCGATCGACAGCCGTCACCGTCTCGTCGTTGAGAACGTCGGGCCCGTCGGTGGTCTCCTCCAGCGGCTCATAATGGCCCGGCTTCACCGACGGGGTTCGGCTCAGCGGCGCCTGCGAACGCTTCACTTGCCCCACGATCGCGTCCGCCTGGCTTACCTTGTTCAGCGCCCGCAGCATGTGATCCGGCATGTGGTCCTGTATCATCACCGGACTGATCAACACCTCGTCGAAGTCGCATGGCCCGGCCCACAGCGCCTGGTACACCGGCTCGCGCTTGCTCAACATTTGTCTGCAATTTAACGCAAGAATGAGTACCGAGAGAGCTCGCGATTCTCTCTCCCCTTTGTTCTACCCCCCTTCCCCCCTCAATCGCTTTTCTTTTTCGCGTTTCCTCGCGACCTCACGCGAGACCTCGGACTATCGCCTTTGCTTTCTGATTCGCGTTTTACGATAAATTCGCGTTCATACGGTTTCCCTATCTCGGTTTGTTGCTGGCGCAATACGAAAGAGAAAAAAGAAACGTCTTCGTCGCGATTAATACATTTTTCTTATGTACAAGGTAATCAATCATGCATAATCTAATTTGTCTCCTACAGAGAAGAGGTCTTGTGTCTACGAGGTGGAGGCATGCATATCCCAGTGGACTACAATCGGGAGACTGCACGAGTAAAGTCTGTCTTGATGGATCATGATGGAGACGTACTGGAGCTATCAAAGATTACTCAACCACCTACCACTCTGGCCACGTATCGTTCGCGTGTAGAATATATTGATCACATGCATATATACCGTGTGTCTCGAGGAAGATTATACGAGCGGCGCGCTTACAGATTCTGGTATATCTTTCTCCCCACCCGCAGCTTCAACGTTCAGCCGAGGATACGAAGTGCGCAACGTTACCCTCGCGATATCCGCTAATAATATACAGGTCGATGTATCGCGTTGCATTCGCGTTTCTTCAGGATATTTCCAACGTTCGGCCGCTACGCCACTTTTGATATGAGCGACTTATGCGCCGAATAAAACCCCGACGCGCCGGCGTATACTCTTCTCGAGACACTTGAGATGGAAGTCGTTCTAAACAGTGTGGAGCGGAATTTGTGATACCGACACCGGTATCGAAAGATGTTGAAGCGGGCAGCTTCAACTACGCGATAAATACGGGATATAGAACCCAAGAGGCATGCGGGCATATCTCCAAGATGCAACAACCCAGAGTAGTAGTAGTAGTAGTAGTAGTAGTAGTAGTAGAGTAGTAGTAGCAGTGGTAGTAGTAGTAGTAGTAGTCCTGAAAATGTAAGCTATTTGCTATAAACGTACCTCCAACTCGTCTCATACTTCTGCCTAGAAAGAAACACAGGCGCAATTAACTTCTCGTTTGTTCGGCAGCGCGCGCGCGCTGGCGCAAAATCGGTTCATCTCGCGCGTAAATTACACCGAGCCGCTGTTCGCCAGCTCGTTAAACACGCTCTCAACGCCGCACCGACGGTGCGGTAACTTCGGACCACAGTATTCGCGAATCACGCGACGTTAAAAACATCGATCAGCGAACTGCGAAAGTTCCGCCAAACGGAAGCTAGATAATTACTTTCGCTAGCATCAAGCGATGCACACATTGCCATCCGTCATTGTTACCGGATAATGCAAACTACGCTCGCGTTGCACCACCTGCTTTCTTCGCGCAATTTCACCGGGAAGAAAAACTGGCACGCTCGGAGAAGCATCCGTGCATCCTCCGTGCATGAGAGACTGCCGTCTCTCTCGAATGTAAATATACTGTAATGTAACTGTACTGTACTGTACTGTATGTAAATATATCCGAAGCGACCCTCGCCGGTGCGACTTAATTTCGCATTATAGATGCAAATTTAGAAGATAATTGCGAGACTATCTCAGATGTGTAAGAAAAAGAGGCAAGTGTTACGCGCTGACGGCACTTACTCGTCCTTGTTCGGATGGTGCCGCACCACATGTATGATCCGGCCGGGCGGGTAGAGCGGCCTGTGCAAGGTCAAAGCGATGCTGGAGTCGCTGGGCACGACGGTCTGGGCGCGCGCCTGATCCTTGTCCCGCTGATACTCGCTGATGCAGCCACCCGCCTCCAGGTTCGCCGCGGACGTGGGCGTCGAGCCGCAGCCGCAGCACATCACCGAGCACGCTATCGTCTTCCACTGGAACAGATCGCCTATGTTATCTCACGAATTTGTGGCATTTTGGCATTCGTGCTATTTTAGAGTGAAAATTAAGAGAGAGAGAGAGAGAGAGAGAGAGAGAGAGAGAGCTTTGTGAATTATGCAAAGTTCTGAATAGACATAAGCGTTCGCACGATTGTGTCCAAACTCGCGAATTTTCAAATAATGGAATTGATTGACAGGTTAAACTAATTTGATTCAAGTTTAAATTGACTCAATAATTTTATACATATAATTTGACTTAAATTTGAACTCGAATTCACAATCTTCCAATTCTGAACAGATGGCTGAAAGTAAGAGCAGTTGAAGAAGATGGCCGGTATTAGCAATTTCACTTGACGAGGATAAAAATGTAGTGTATAAAAGATAGGAGTTGTTAAAAAAAATTCTGCGAAGCATACCTTAGGATCGACACTTCTCTTTATAGCGTTGATGAGGTCTGCCCTCAAACTCTCTAATTGTCGGAGTCCAATTCTGGGCACGACGTCCTTCCCCACCACCACCGAGGTGATAAATTCCTGACTGTATTGCTGGGCTGGCATGCTCAGAAGTCCACCGGGTGGCCCGAACGAGAAGCAGACCAGATCCGGATATTCCTGCTTCAGTAGGATCGCGAGTATCGCCGCCGTGCCGGCGCCTAATGAATGTCCCACCAGCGTTAATCCAAATTGGTGCGTGCCCCTGGAGGTATCCTGCGACGACCGAGATTCGACCGAGCATCGAAACAATCTCTTTGATTATCGCTGTCATACAGCCCACCGTACACTGTGACGGTCTAATTATTTACGTGTTTGACGTATAAGTAGCAATCAAACTTCAGGAATATATAATGGTTATCCAAGGCACCAATGTCTGGACAGCAACAACACTGGTTCCATATTCTGGACATTTTTTTTTTGTTTTTTAAGCACGAATATTTAAATTCTCAGCGTAGAATATATGCACGTATTCGATATATGTATATATATTCTATGATGAAAGTTTCAATATTCGTATTTGAAGATTAAAACAATAAGAATACTTAAAGTTAGATGCTAGTATCCAGGCATTGGTACTTTTATCTTAATGGAAAAAGACCCATATTTCACTATATAAATGTCGGAATTAATTTCATTACGCGCGATATGCCTTTCAAACGAAGATGTACTCATCGCACGAGATACGTTGTACCGCTTCGTGAATTATTTCGATTAAATCTCTCGTCCTTATATATTCTCTGTAGGAAATTCTATCGGGATAGAAAGTAGATTCAGCGCACACACGCAAGCAGTACATACATATGTATTATACACACATATATTGTCTATTCATACAGTACATAAGCTTTATGTAACGCGAAAGGGTGAGCTGCAAAATTTAACTGTTCCGAACGAACGACGAGCGATTAAATCCACGATGAAAAAGTTGCCGTCACACTTGGCCGCACATCGAGTATATGGCGGATGATGAACGTTTTTCCCTCCGCGATGCATATTCAATAAGGACTGACGATTTTTTTTTATTATGCGAAAGGAGCCATTAGACGCCGAGCTGAATTGCACCAACTTGGTGTTTGTCGTCTCCCGCCGTGCGAAATAGCATTTTCAATGAAATAAATACACGTCTATCGATCCGCACTGCAAAGAGCTCCGTGACAGACGGAACCCCTGGCTATTTCCCTCAATTTAAAACGAAAGAGCGTTTGCGATGGAAAATTGCAGAATAATTGCCGCTGAGACTACGCACGACGTGCAACTGCGTGAAAGATAATTCTCATTACGCTCGCGCGTTCCAGTTGTCGGTTATTATGCGGGTAGATAGAGCACATCGCACGATAATTATTTCAGCGTCTCTATCGCCGTGCTATTCGATAACGACCGGCCAAGCGATGCGCGGCTCATTTGCAAGCGATGTGTACCTTGGCGAGGGCACGTGCGATGATACCCTCTTCCAGCAGCTTCTTGCGTATGTATTCGGCAGCCTGCACCATCCCCTTGTGCCCCAGCCAGTCTTCCCTCGGCGGCGATAAAGGCAGTACCTCGCCCTCGGCGTTTAGATCCGTCAACACGTCCTTCATGCTCAAAGTCCCGCGTATACTAACTACCACCTGGAGGAAACGTGAGCGTCAAATGTACAAAGGGCGAAGAACGTCGCACAAGACGCGGATGACGGCGATCAATCGGTATGAGGAACGTGGAAAGGCCACAGCAATAATTTCAATCTTGTCGACTGACTCTGTTCCGCTCTACAGAGAGTTACGTATTTCAGTTGTGTATTATCTTCGGATAAAACTGACACGTTACAGCCAATCCTGCTGAGTCTCATGTAAGTCAATTGCTCGATCGAGCAGACTTCGTCTCGTCTCTCGTTGAGGAAGTTAACGCGCGTTGGAGTTTCGCGGCGGAGGTGATCAACGAGACATACCTTCTTCTTTGTGTAATCCAGCGCCACGAAGAACGGTGTCTCGCCGACATCGACGTGGAAGGTCGCGTATACAACCTCGATCTCGCCCAGGTCGAGCATTCCGCTCAGCGCGGCGTAGTTGCACCGGCAGCAGTTGTCCTCGATGATCGTCGCCTCGTCCTCGTGAGCGCCGCAGGGGAAGCAGCAGCATCGCAGTCTGTCGACCGGGAAAAAGACACGTGATTCACGAGGTCGTCCGTGCTTTTTCACGATTGTGCGTACACAGCGAGAATATTCTTTTTCATATCAATTATACATAAAATAAAATGAATAAGTAAATATAATCGTATAAAATGAAATAAATAAAATAAATAAATAAATAAACCCTTTTCAATTCTACAATGTTTCCAACAATGCAGTGGTCCGTAAAATCAATAAGGCTTGCCTTGCTAAGGAACACAGTAAATTTTGCTAAAAACACTGTTGCACTGCAGCAAATTTTACGTTAAAATGAACAAAGTTCTCGTGTCCCAATTTATCCATTCTGATTCCTGCGTTAACACAAAACAAATATGCTAACAAATAACACAACTTATCTGTTCATTTTACGTGCAAAATGTCATCAAGAATTCGTATATTGTAAATGACATGCAAATTGTGTTATTTGAAACACTCAGGAATGGAAAATGTGAACTCAACGCAGAATAGCCAGACAATATGTTAAATTAACTTTTGTGTTAAAAGTTTAACACAAAAGTTTCCACACAGATCGGTTTCAATACAAAATGTTTTTTATCGTGTAACAAATTTTCTTAGAGACGTAGCAAATTTTTTAATAGAACATTTCAGAACTCCTAAAATATAAATACCACATATGAAAATGAAAGCATATTCAATTACTGCGGAATGCTATGTTCTCTCGGTTATGAAATTCTGCAGCAAATTTCACTATAATATTCTCATAATATTCGTGTGTAGAAACGCGAGGGGAGAATCGCTCATGGAATTCTCACGTCGCGAGAAAACTGACGGAACTTTTTGTATATTGCGAATTAATTAATGATAATAGACAACTTCGTTCTAATCTCGAACGCGTGACGCAGATCGCTGGCTTGGCACGAGGAGGGATTTACCTGGTGCACAACTGGCAGAGCTCCGTGGAGGGATTAACGACGAACATGGGCCAGCCGTAAGCTGCGAGGGCAAAGTGCATGTAGTGAATGGCCAGCTGAAAGTGGCCCAGGTCACCGTCCTCGGTCATCGACAGGAACTTGGTGCGCGGAGTGACCGGCACCCCCGACAGGAACTCGTACGTGTCGTTCTTGCGCTGCTTCACTATCAGCTCGCGCTCGACCTTCTGGAACTTGCGCAGCAGCACCAAGCCGGCCACCACGTCCGACGGCACCACGTCCAGGTCGCGGAAGAAGTCGCTCAGCAGCCGGGCGATGTCAGCGAACGAGTTCTGCGGCAGAATTTTTATCTCGTCGGAGCGAAGTAAGCTCGCGCTTCAAACCAGACGATGTTCTTCGTCAAAGATGAGCATGCAAACGAGTAATCTTGCCTCTGACAGAGACAATTTCTCCGCGGAGACTCTCCGTAGACATCGGTAATCTTTGCTTCAGGGGACGAAAGAACACGTAACACCGTACAAACTACATTCTCCCGCGAGACCGTCCGTAAAAGCTACACAAAAGAGATCGTTATTTCGCAAAAGTGAGAAACCACCTTAAGAATTTCAAGATTTCCTCTTCTTGTATCTTTCTTCCATTCTTTCATCCCTTAGGGAAGCAATTGGTTACCCGCTTAATTTACTTAGTCCGAGGTCTCTGCTTTTCTAAGAACGACGATCCACTTTCTTCTGTCGGCTTTTATTCTTCAGCAATTTTACCGCATTTAAGGCTCCCGGCCATCTTGGATGATGACGCCAAAAGCAAGGAAATTCATACCCAAAATTTCTGCAGAGCACGTCGAAATAAAAAGATATATAAAGAAAAAATGACACTTGCCATTGTTTAAGCATATTTTTTAAATACTCCACTTTCTTTTTAATATATCTTTTCACTTCGACGCACTTTGGAGGAATTTCGAGCGTCCATTTTCTCACTTCTGACATTATCAATCAAGAATTCTTGATTGAATTAATCTCATGAATAAATTTTCCAAGTGAATTTTGCTGCGTTACTCACTCGATTGCGATCGGAGTTACCCATGCAACAAAACAACAGCCTGCATCTGTTGTCCCAACTGTCCTGATAGGCACGTATGACTTTTCTGCAACAGAAGATTTAAGCGGGACACATGTTTAGGATGTGCTCGGCGAGGTGTTAACGCACAAATCCGGAGCGAGGTAAAAGTCGGCTGAAATAAAATTTCTGCGACAACCAGGCGAAAGATACATATACACACATACGCGCGCGCGCGCGCGCGCGCGCGTGTGTGTGTGTGTGTGTGTGTGTGTGTACACTACCGTCTAGAAGTTGGGAGCAGTCATATTTTTGTGTGAAATAAAAAATAGCTTATAAATATTATAAAAGCAACCGCTTATAATGAATGTTTGTTGATATTGACGACTACTTTAGGTTAGAACATCAACTTTCTGTCCCTATAATTACATTATATTAAATAAAAAATATTTAGTTAAATCAACCTAATAACTTCAACGCGCACTGAGCTTACAAATTGTAACTTGCGTTTATGAATGAAATTGATATTTCGGAATTGAAGGTAAACATCATATTTCTGTGATTCGAACGTGACCAAAACAAAGTAAGTTCAACATAAAAGTCCTGTACCGTTTTGCGATATTCGCAATAATTATCGAGATATTAATTGTAGAAAATTTGTGAATGATCATGCAGAATATGGTAAATGAGTTATAATAGCGACGACTGCCGTCGTGTACTTATTAGATCGAATTGAACAAAAAAGTTCTCTACCATTTTGCAAATAATCACATAGATTTTTAATTATTAATTAAAGAAGATGAGTGCATTATCACGCAAAATCGTGCAATAATCTTCTTTAATTAATAATTAAAAATCTATGTGATTATTTGGAAAATGGTAGAGGACTTTTTCGTTCAATTTGAATAATTGACCTAAAGTATAAGTACACGACGGCAGTCATCGCTACTATAACGTATTTACTATATTCTGCGTGATCATTTACAAGTTTTCTACAATTAATATCTCGATAATTATTGCGAATGTCGCAAAACGGTACAGGACTTTTATGTTCACCGCAACCTGTTCTACGTCCCCACAAAATGCCCGGAGGAGAATGTGAGACACCCTGTATACGTATAAAGTGGACAAGCGATGCGAGCATCAGTGAAAAAGCCGCCGGACTGGTCGGACATACATTTAGGAGTAGCGAGAGCGCTACTATTTTCCGCGATGTGATTTCGCGGAAAGCCTCAGCCTCCCGTCGCGTGCTCTCCTTCTGGCTTTCGTTCGCGATTAAGCCGGAGGCGGATTTAAATTACCCGCGCCCGCGTAATGCCACAGAGAATGATGTGAAAGCGCGAAATGGAGATTCGGGACACCGAGCCGCGACCTCGCCTCTTCTCAGGGTCTACTGAATGTTAAGGCTTTACTGTGGCTTAGCGTACAATCGCGCAGAAAGATCGGGCGCCTTTTTTGCAAGTTTAGGAACATATCCTGTCTTATCTAATAGTAGAATTTATTTTTATTATAGCCTTTTTCTCTTTTTTTCTCTCGAATTCTCTTAAATTTTACTGTTAGTAGTGCAAGAACAGACTGCCAGCAAAGTTTTGCTAAGGAAAGATACATTGCGCTGAAAAGAGTAAATTTTTTAACAGCACATTTCAGTTCCTAACATATAAGTAAAGGAAGAATTCTCCCATTGGACAAGACGGGATACGTTTTCAAACTCACAAAAAGAAGAAAAAAGTTTTGCCGTGATGGCACAGGCACGCAGAGATACTCACCGTTGTCGCCAATTTCGATTTCTGCTGCCACTGCGCTTGTAGTGCAATCTGGCCCCTCGCAACTCCGCCTCCCTCATGCTGCGCTGATACTTCTTCATTTTTACCCAAGACCTGCCGGCAGCGTCGTACGTGCACCAAATGGTCACCATCATCAGAGTCAGTAGGCAGCAATTCGATGCCACCAAACCTGCTCGAAACAAGGGAAATTATAATAAAAAAATCAAATCTCTCTTGTCGGCTAGAGTCCCTCAAATAAGAGCTTGGACACTTCTGACTTCTTATTGATTGGTTTAGTTTCTTATTTGATCGGATTATCATGTAAAGAGATTCTGCAAAACTCTAAAGACTTGAAGTGCTGCAACTTCATTCGATAAAAAGTGTGCAAGCTGTTTTATGACCAAACACCACATTCAAGTCTCCTGAGACACATTAATGCAAAGTACTCACCTAACATAACATCCTTAGCTTGGTCCACTGGACAGATATGATAATAATGCGCTAACCACGTGAGACCCGCGCCCAACCATCCACACTCTACTAGAACCAAGACTGAAACATCAAACCCAATTCGTAGGTCAAGTAAGCTGCCTATTTGCCTGCCTGCTTATCTGTTTATCTGCCTGCCTGTTTATCTGTCTCTCAATTTCCACTTCAACGTCCGATCAAGGCGAGACAGAATTATCGATTCGATGTTTCTCTCCCTTAACAACGGACGAATAAAGGTGAAAACCGGCAGAAAAACACGTGGTGAAATGACCCAATGCAAGATGCAAGTCGATCTTCGTCCGCCGATCGAATTTCGTCGGATTCGACAAAGAAAGATATATTCTTATTGTTCAAAAATAATTTTTACGAATGAAAAGCATGAAATATTGGACTGAGATCATAACGTTTATAAAGAGAGAGACCAAATGCCTATAGACAATGTGCCCCATTCCGAGGCAGTGAAATCGATAGATGAAATGGGTACCATTTTAAAGATCTCGATGAGCTGAAAACTTTGAAAATTTACCTACCTCAAGTTGATCCGATTTTTCGCAAATACAACGTTCCAAAAATTTGATTTCCGTTACGGTTTTTAATTTATAGAAAATATTAGCGCTGGAATTTCGGGACGATCAAAGGCGCGTTGGAAAGCTGAGAGTGCCTACTTTTCAAAAAAAATATATCATTCTGATCAAGTGACAAATAGCCGGAAATCCAAGTGTTCCAATTGGAATTTTGGTACTTCCCGTCGATTTTGAGCTCTGAAATCATTTTCAAAATAATATATTTTTTCCTGAAAAGTAGACACTCTCAGCTTTCCAACGCGCCCTTGATCGTTCCGAAATTCCAACGCTAACATTTTCTATAAATTAAAAACCATAATGGAAATCAGATTTTTGGAACGCTGTATTTCCGGAACGAAAAATCAGATCAACTTGAGATACATATCAAAATTTTCAGCTCGTCGAAATCTTTAAAACGGTACCCATTTCATCTATTGATTTCACTGTCTCAGAATGGGGCACATTTTGGCCGCCCTCTTTTGGAAGAAGATATCATTATAATCATCAAAATAATAATCTTGTACTTGTTACAAGACCATTGTAATGTTCAAATGAAATTGTAACACTGTTGAAATTCAAAACTTTAACATCCTTCTAACAAAATTATAGATCTTTGCTTATGCATGAGGAAAGGATTATTAATTCAAGTATATTAATTTTCAGTGGATACTAATTTCTTTTTCCACGTATGTTTCCTTGGAGTGCCAATGACTAATGAGGATACCAATAATTGTGTGGTTTAAGCCTGATCTACAATATGCTTTTTGCTTCCTGCTTCTTTCTCTTCATCTCTTTCTGACTCAAACCTTAAGCTCTAAGCCAGACAAAGATAGAAGACAAGAAACAGAACGCAAAGAGCATATTGTAGATTAAGCTTTACTCTATCTCTCGAGACTATCAGTTTAATCCTCCGTCGTGATTCGAGGACATCTCGCGACACGTTTATTGTCAGCATTATTGCAAGTGGGTCGTCCGTTCCGCCGCGGAAACGCGCCCGCCGCCTCCGGTCGCCTCGCGTTTCCGCCTCGGGAAACAACGGACGCGCGTGCTTTTGTAAGCCCCGCGGCAGGCCGAAGGAAGCGCCGTCGATAGCTTCGATCTTTTTGTACGGCGCGAACGTAATACCAGTGAGTGCGAGACTGGCGTGTGCATTCTCGTTATTTTAAAAAGACTCGCGCGCTTTTCGCACACCGGAAGACGCAGTCTTCCTTTATCGAGGGATGACGGAGACGTGAGATAAGGGAAGGGAAATTTTGCAATATTTAAAGGCACCATATTATCCGGTAATACCTTTGAAATTTTTTCAAAATATTAAACAAAAATGTTCAAGAGATACGCGTAAAATCAAGATTTCAAAATGTTCTAATGTTTTTTGTTTACTGGACGGCCTTCTTCGACGGCCGACACGCCGATTTCATTCGACACGCGAGAATGTTTCTCGTGAATTTGATATCGAATGTGATTTCCCCTTTGAGGTTTTCAACGCAAAAAATATAATTCAGGATCCGTTCAGCTTCCGTCCCTCTTCAGCTTCTCCTCGATATTAATCCAAACGCCCGCGAAGAAATTATACAGTCGGATTGCAGTCGAAGCACGTGGGAAAATAATTGGTCGGTAAATTGAATCTCTCGGCGGCTTAATATCACGTCTCTATTTACATCGACCGGCGTTAAACTATAATCGAATTGTGAATTCATTTCGCGCACGCGCGCGCACTCCGCGCAATTTAACGATACTCTCTCGGCGGGCAGATTAATCGCCGGCTGAGTCTTTAGAGATGAGGATTTAAATAAAAACGAGGGCGTGCTCAGAATACGCGTCTCTTAATACGCGTAAGAACTAAATTTCGTTTCGCGAAACGAGAACGAACGCAAGAGACGCCAAAGGAGGAAAGTGACAAAAGGGGAAGGAAAAAGAAACCAAGAAGAAGGCTGGCGCGGCAGCTCGGTCGCAGAGATAAAACGGGCGCAGAGGGAAAACTAAATAGCGAGGAATGAATAACCGAAGAGGAGAGAGAAATATCAGCGATAGCGCGCGCATTACAAGCGCCGTTACGCGATATTGCACAGCGTGACAAATATTGTGATTGTCATCGAACCGTTTCATCACACGATACATTTCATATTGACACTGTTTCTCGATATATGTCGTTCCTTGGAATTTTAATAATATGTCGCCGACAGTTAATCGACGACACATCGAACGGGAACGGGTATTGGTCTCGCGTGGGATTAAAAAGTCTGATAAAACATATCCATACTATACATACGCGCGCCGAGTGTTTCTACAGAGTTTCCCATCTTCTTGCGAGAACGCCCGAGTCGAACTTTTGATCCTACTTTCAGCTTTACTATTCCATTCAATGAACATCTATTTTGATACTCTGAAACTTATTCTGAAACCTACATCAACCTCTTTTGATTCTATTTAACCTATTCGAGTCGAAATTTTGATTCTCGTGTGCTGAAAGTTCGATTACATATTTCGCAATTTTAACATGGTTGTTACTATAGTTGATTGGAGTGGATAACACTCCAAAAAAAAGGTTTGGTTGAATTAACCAAATACTTGGTCGAATATGAACGATCCAGAAATTCCGATTGAAGTAATCCGAGTTCTGTTTAAGCCAACCAAAAATCTTATTAACTTAAACAGAATTCGGATTACTTCAATCGGAACTTCTGGATCGTACGTATTCGACCAGATATTTGGTTAATTCAACCAAACCTTTTTTTCCGTGTACTTATTTAGAGATGGGACATCGATAAGAAATAATCGATTATGACTCTAGTAACTTAATTGGAGCGCACCGATTATCGGTAGCCCGATATATCGAGCGAAATAATCGATTCTAGAAAGAATCGGATACACTATCGCTGCATCTCGTTGAGCATATGTGTGCTTATGTATTTATAGTTTACGTGACATATATTATAGATGAATAAACGCATGTACCGTTTGCGGAATAAACTTTTCCGATTCCACTTATTTTTATTTTTACCAGTATAAAAACAAGTTGGATCTAATGAAATTCAGTGATATACTAAAAATATACCAACCAGAGTAAAGCATTTCTAGCATGTCACTGAATCTCATCAGATTCAATGTAAAAACAAACGCCATGTGCCGTCGGTTTAAGCGCTTACTTAGTTCCTTTGCTGTTGAATGCATAGTCATTAGATGCACCCACTTGCTGTTCTTGATACAGTCAATGGTTATGTTCAGCAGAGAAAGTAGCTTGCAACTGTTGTAAAACTCGTGAATCTGATTGGTATATGATTATGTTTACATGACGACATTAATCTGGATTAATAGTTACCGTAGTTAGTGAACTTTCGAATCTGATTAGAGTATATTAAGCCAGCGGCAACACGGTGCTTGTTTTCGTGCTGGATGGAAATACTGTCATGGATGGAAATTCTGATTGGCGTGTTTCCGAAGATGGATGGAGATACACCAATCAGAACGCAGTATTTCTATTCAACAAGCAATCTGGTACGAAAACAAGCATCGTGTGCCGCTGGATTTAAATGTAAAAGAATATACAAATCAGATTTAAGAATTCACTAACTACGGTAGTAGTTAAGTTAAATATAAGATCCGAATGAATACCGGCCTATGAATGGGTAACCAATCAAGTTCCATCTTTCTGTTAGTACAATAGGAGTTAATAATCGGTTTAAAAGTATCGATTCTCGCCAACAATCGATTACAAAATATTTACGTATCGGAAAGAAATAATCGATTATAGCTATAATCGGTATCGCCCATCTCTAGTACTTATAACTAAGTCTCGGCCTAACCGCCGTCACGACAAGACGTGTTCGAACAAGTTCGGACCTTGTGATTTTTTGGAACGTGCCTTTGGAATTTTCCAAGACTCTACTCTCGAAATATATCATAAATCGGAATAATGGCGTTGGGGCATAACTCTTAGAGGCCTGGAGCCAAATATTGAAGTTGAAGTTAAAGTAGTACTTATAACTGAACCATCAATTATAAGTATACCATTACTGTAGTAAAAAATACACTGATTATGTCTTAGACAGTAATAAGCTCTTCGAAAATTTGTGACGAATATATTTTGAGACTACGATCAAGAGAAAATATCCTCTGTTGAAGATAACTGTTACTTAAGGCTTCTGGCCCTTCGCATTATCTATCTCTTTTTTAATGACGTCAGAAGCGAGAAAATGCATGCTAAAAAATTCTTGCGAAATAAACGTTAAAATAAAAATATATCCATAAAGTAACACTTGCAATGATTCGATTGAACAAACTTGTAAGATATTCCGTGCACTCCCCTTTAGCTCTAACAATCAATAATTTATCGTAAATTAACGTGACATGCAATTCATCTTCTTAACCTATTTCTTCGTCTATTTTTATTCAGATTAATTTACAATAAATTATTAATCGTTAGAGCATTTTCTCGCTTCTGACGTCATTAAAAAGAGACAGACAATGCGAGGGGCCAGGAGCCTTAAAGGGAGGGAAGTAAATCACATTTTTCCCCTGGTAGTAGCAATGATATTTTTGTCCGTGTACTCACATAGCCGGATATAAAGGATGTACTGCATCGGCGCCCTGGCCACAGTGTCCAGAATGCTGCCCCTCGTCGCCAGGAAGCAGATGGAGAATTCCACCACTAAACAGCCCATGAAGAGGGCCTCGTAGCCGATCACGTAGTCCCATAGGAGTAGAATGCAGGGGATGCTACGATCCCACTCGAGAATCCCCAGTAGAACGCCCAGCACCGTCAGCCTGCAACCCATCAAGATGCCCCTTTTTAAAGGTGGAATGCGAGTTGAAACCTAGTTTCCGACGATAAATGGCGCCAGGACGAGAACGCCCGTCCCAGGTACCCAATTCGGAGACACACTACACTTTACGTCGCAACGCAACGTCCGTCTGTACGCTTCCGCACTTGCGCATTCTCCAAATTCTTCCTGGGGGAAGAATACGTTACGTTATAAATTCACGAGCATAAATCGCAATTCGTATCCATCATTCCTACGACAAGCGGAATAATCTTGGTTCGACTTCATCTCGAAGATAAAATAAAAAGCAAGCCTAGCCGAAATTTTCATCCTACTTTCAGTCTTACTATTCTATTCAACATATACTATTTCGATATTCTGAAGCCTACAATACAACCTATTTTGACATTGAAAGTGAAAACGGAAATTTCGGACATCAAAGTCAAAGTAGGAGTAAATTATATATCATTAGAATTAAATCTATTGTAATAACCTTGCCTAACCTTGCTATAATTTAGCTCTTACTGCGTTGTAGAATTCAAAGTTTAACTCTTTAAGGCGCATAATTTTAGTAACTTTTGTTTAATGAAATATTGTCAAAAACATTCTAAATAGCACATTTATAAGCTTTCAACTGTCCGATCCTAAGTAGTTCTTATTGGTACCAGTGATACTTAAAGAGTTAAAGTGCAATCGGGTGAGTGTATAAAGTTGGAACCCCACTTTTTGAAATTTATAATTTTGAAAGTTGTTCCAGATTGTTCTGACTTTGTACCACATTGTTCCAAAGTGATATTGCTTCATTCTAAACGGTTTTCGAATAAAACAAAAAAAAATGATTTTTTGAGCTGGCACCCCACTTTTCGAAAATCGAACATTCTGATACCGCAATAGATTGTTCTAGTTGTTCCAAACATTGTTCCAAAAGGACAAATCCGTAAGTTGAATTATAAGTCCAAAAAATGAAAAAATGTTTTTGACCTGACACCCCATTTTTTGAAAATAAAGCATTCCGATACCGATATAGATTGTTCTAGTTGTTCCAAACATTGTTCCAAAAGCACAAATCAATAAGTAAATCAATAAGTTTAATTATAAGCCCGAAAAATTAAAAAGAAGTTTTTTGACAAACAGTCTATCGGACCAAGAATAAACTTATACTATCTTTCTTGTTCCAACCGAGATCTTTTTGTTCTGAGTTGTGCTAGGCTTAAGAATTATAGTTTTAGAGAATGAGACCCGTAGCGTCATCCGTTCTCCGAAAATTCGAAAAAAAATCGATCATCTAAAAAATCTGAAAAAATTCTGGGATATTCTAGAGAGATTATATGTTATGTTCCAATAGTTACTTTAGTCATTTATTAACAATTTTTTGTAATAACAATTTAAATTTGCCGAAATCGATAAAAAATGTAATTTCGTAAAAAAAATGCATAACTTAACAATATATTAAAATTAAAAAAATATTCAGGTTTTTTTAGATAAAACTATTTTCTTAAAAAAAAAGTTCTATATACTAATTTAAAAAAGTATAATTATTTGGATGA